AGTTAACTACTCCGGACACATTGTCGGAAACAGTTGTGTTAGAATTTTTATAATTTCTGTTCAGAGTTAAAAGCCTTCAAGGATCGACAATTGCATCTTATAAATAAGTATTGATTGACCCTCTGGCGTGGGGTTTTAATATTATTTGAACCCAAGGATTTATCAAATGCTCAGATCGTCCTTTTTCATTCAGAGACCCCCTCGGCCTAAGAGAATCCCAGCTTGGTCTCTAGAAAAAGTTACCAAATTTCTTATGGGGCCTAATTACAATATAAATCTGAACCGGGACAGATTGCTCCAGAAGGCAGCCTTCTTTCTAGCAATAGCAACAGGTATGAGAATCAGTGAACTGATTTCAATTTCCAATAATCCATCATTATTGTTATTATATGAGGAGGATGTCACCCTTTTTCCTATGGAGATCCTAAGAAAAAATGAAAGGGAGGATTTTCAAGCTCAACCTATTAGGATAAAACAGCTAATGGATGAGACAAGGGTTCCTCATATATTGTGCCCAGTTAGGAATCTTCAGGAATAGTTACCCAGATTCCCTAATAGAAGCCCGTATGTATTCTCATCACAGGATGGTAAGAAATTGTCTCCTAATCAAATGAAAAAAAGTTTATCTCAGTTATTGAATCAAGCAGACCCTGGCAAGAAACTTTTGGCACATGACACTAGGAAATATGCAGGGTCTGTGGCCTTTCTGCGGCATATGAGCCTCAGTCAGATCAAAGAAGTGGGTTTTGGAAGATCTTCAAAAACTTTTAAAAACATCTACCTTCATCTATCTCTGAAAGATGTTTCACATGTGGTGGTGCTGGGGTCCCCTCCCCCACCTGATCCATCTCCATAACCAGGACCTTCCTCATCAGAATAAAGTGAGTATCCTCATTAAGATATGTAAATTAACATTTTACCTTTCGGTAAATGTTCCTGATACAGCTGCTCCCCGACTTACGACGGGGTTTGGGACCCAAATCCAGGTCGTAAGTCGAAATGGTCGTAAGTCGAAATGGTCGTAAGTCGAAATGGTCGTAAGTCGAAAATGCTTAAATATTACATAGAAAATCTAAAATGGGGGTCTCTCTTTCTTCTCAGCACTGCAAAACTCTCACTTATAAGCTTGCCAGCTATTTTAAAGTGAATTACAAACAAAAATTTTGTCTGTACTGTACTGACGTTGGGACTCGAAAATGCATAATTTGACAAAATTTTGGTACAACTGAGGCAGGTCGTAAGTGCTGGTGGTCGTAAGTCGAGTAGGTCTTAAATCGGTGAGGCGCTGTATTGGAAAATATTCCAAACGGTTTATAATCATAATCTGGACCTAAGCTAGCGGTGCTTTATACAATGTCACCTCCTGCTCGGGTATTCAGAGCTGGGCGTCGCATTCTGGATTGAAGAAAAAGCCTTTTTTTTTTTTAAATAGCTTTTGTGATATAGTCCAGAATGCGACGCAGATAACCCACCCCTCTCCACCCCTCGAGAGTTGACTTTTGTTTACTGCTCGCTCTGAGGCAAGAGATGAAGGTCGTGATGCATATGGTGGGGTGTGGGAAGGGGTTTTGAGAATTGCAGTTAAATGCCAGGTAGGGACGTGTCCTCTTAATATTACATATTAGTAATTGTTAGATGTTTTAATGGCCTGTATGTTGGCCTGGCGAGTTATTTCTAGGCTTTAACATACCTAGGTATAAGCTAGGCGTTGCATTCTGGACTACAGTAGGCTCTCGCCAATAACGACTTCCACAATAACGTTTTCGACAATAACGGTAAGTTACAATAGATACCCATTTTCGATAATAACGTCTGGATTCTCTTGAATAAAGGAGATTTCGCGGGAAGCGTCCGTGCACATCATTGATAGCGTTTGTTTGCCGCCATGTTGATGACGTAGGTTTCCGCTCCGCCTCACTCTCACACGCTCGGTGGAATACAGCGCTGCTCCCACGTATGAGATTTTCGCCTCTATAACCAGTGGTCGCTAGGGTCGGTGATCAACAATGGCTTCCGCATTTTTGCCTGTGGGGGTTAGGGGAGGTGGTGGAAGGAGTGATTTGCCGCCTGAATGCCCGGAACTCTTAAAGTGAATGAGAAAAAAGACCCCAAAGCTAAGAGACAAAGCCTCAAGAAGCGTGCCTACTAGGGTGACAATAAAAAGTGAAAGTTTTTATTTTTAGATGGCCATTTGTCCAATACTGCGTACCCATGAAAAAAGAACACAGGCGAAATCCTGGGTCATTTGGACAATATTTAGAGGTGGCTCAAGCCATTTGAAGTTAACACTACTGAAATTATTATTGATTTTTTCTAATTTCTTTATTTATGAACCGATTACTATGAAACTTTGCAGGTATATGTAGAATGCAAATTCAAACTAAAGTTGTTCCTAACATTTTTTCTAAAAATGAGTAATGAGTATTTTGGCTGGTGCAGCTATTGGCAATGCAGAGGGGAGGGAGAGGCGGGTGTCAGTCTGGGTAGGGGGAAGAGGTTGTGTGCCAGTGTCTGACTGGTACAGTAGCATCAGTTGTGTGTGAGACGTGACGGTGGGTGTGTGTGCGTCGCTCTTGTTGCAGTATTACAGTTAGTACCATTGTCTTTGTCTAAAATCAATGCATCAATTTAGGTATATAACACTTAAAAAACTTTATACAAGTGATCTTGCATGCCGTATGCTTTATGGGTGCTGTTGTTTGCATAACAGTAACAACATAAGTTACATAAATGTTTTTGTTTGTTTCAGGTTCAATGGAGAGTACACGTTCAAAAACTGAAGTTTGGCTCATTGGTCAACACATAACCGAAATCACGGGTGCACAACTTCCTTCAAGAGGAGATGTTCTACGTCTGTTTTTCCACGGTCACAATGAACATAAGAAAACAGTGAATGATTCTGCGAGTGAAGTTGCAGCATCGGTTATTAGTTTCTGGAATAAAGCACGGATTCCTACCATAACTGAGAAGAGTATTGGACGAAAGGTAGTGGATCTTTTTTTAATGTGGAAGGGACTTAAGAAAAACTGCACTCGCACTACAGACACACAACGTAAGAAAGAGGAAACTTTTTGTGATGAGTTAGAGGACCTCTTCGATGTTGCCCACCCCAAGGCAATGCAGCTCTTGACCATCAAAGAAGACCGAGCATTCCTGGCAGCGCAACGAGAAAAAGGGAGAAGAGGTGTAATGGCAGGAGTAGACAAAAAGATTGCTTGTTCCATCAAGCGTCGGGAAGAAAGCAAGAGTAAGCAATCTCTACAACAGAATCAAGCCAGTTCTGCTCTTGAATATGATGAGTTGGGTTCTTCGTCTGAAACAGAATCACAATCAAGCTAGCAATCAGGTGTCTCGATGGAGCTCTACCCAAGTTTAATCTCAGACGGCCCGGAGCACTTCACCGAGCACGGTGGATGGCTAAGCTCATTTATGTCATGAAGATCCAGATTTTTGCTAATCAGTTTAAACTAACTGCTCGTGAGACATTAGGCTTGAAACAATTCACATTCTTTGTGCTAGAGGTGTATGTCAGTGCATGGTTCACGGCCTCCGTTCCATCCTCCGCTCCTGCTAATGATTTGCGGCTCCTCCAAGACCTGTCAGAGTACCACGACGTCAAAATATCAAGAACATGTCTCACAGTCTTCGGTCGTCACCTGTGGTACCTCAGTGAAGGCTTGGTGGGTCTTGCACTCTTCGATCCACAAGTTAATGCAACAATGAAGACAAACATAGTTCGGGCAATCGTTGAGAGGAAGGCGACCGAGGATTCACCAAAACGTGCTGCTCTTCCTGCCACATCTTCCCTTCCCACAAAGCAGCTCTCAGACTTTGCTTCTAGAGGATCAAACTTTCTATTTGAAAGTCTCAAAATGAAGACTTCTTTTTTGTCCAAGGAACCTGACACATGGTCTGATGATGAAGACTTCAAAACTGGCGTCGCAGTTGTGGGTGGTCTCAGAGTCATCAACGACACTGCAGAGAGAGGGATTGCCTTGATACAGGCATTCAACAGCAAGATCATGAAGAGTGAAGACCAGCGTCAACATCTGCTGCAGGTTGTTGAAGAGCAGAGGCGGTCACAACCAGGGACATCAAAACAGGACCTTACAAGCAAAAAGCGAAAACAATGAATGGGTTGTCCACACCTCTCCCACCCATTGATGTAAGCGTGTTCACTGCAGTTTCATTTTAAAAAGGAATTAATCATTTATATGTACAGTGTACACATAAACTTGCTCAATATGTAAATTTTAAAATAAACCGGCATATTATGAATATTCGTATTTTTTGCCAAAAGGATAAAACTTCAATTGACTTGAGCTACCTCTAAATATTGTCCAAATGACCCAGGATTTCGCCTGTGTTCTTTTTTCATGGGTACGCAGTATTGGACCAATGGCCATTCCATTTAATCAATTTTAGAAATTCACCCCTATGCACTATTGTCACCCTAGACTGCCTACTCGGTCAAGGTTAAAGAACAGATTGTTTTGCTCATTGAAAGTGGTGCACGGAACATTGATATTGTGAGGAAATTGAACCGTCCTGAGTCTACAGTGCGAAATATTAAGAGGAACTTAGAGGAGACCAAGAAGAGTATTGCACTGGCTAAGAAATATTTCGGTAGTAATGGAAATGCGAGGCGAGCTATGAATGATAAAAGTGATAGAAACAGGTTGTTAGTGATAACAGAGCATTTTCTTGTGAAATGGTTAGCTTGAAGAATGAAAGACAGTGCAAGTCTTAGCGGCCCTCAGTTACGGAACAACCATCACATCAAGCACCTCAAAAACTCCCCCAAACTAAGTGTTATATTACTCAAACTCTTTATTTTGATGATTGAATAACAATTCTTTTTATTTCAGCGAACAAAAAGTGTTAGGAGGGCTTCAAGGGGAAAAATTGGGTGAAATTCTTGGGGCGGCGGCACCAATAAACCCTTTTTACATGTATTTTAATGTCACACAAATAACGTTTTCGCTAATAACGGCGTTTTTCAGGCACCTATTAAACGTTATTGGCGAGAGCCTACTGTATATCACAAAAACTGTTTTTTAGAAAAAAAACGGCTTCATCCTTTCATCCAAGTTATCCAAAATTACGGTACCTTTGCCTTCTCACTCACATACAGTACAGTCCATTCATAAAAGCTTTTAGTTGTATTGGAATTTTGGATAAAAGATGCTCAACCTGTATGCTGATTACTGTAGCTAACACTCACCTTAACAGCCAACTGCTTGAATAATAATGAAGATATTTCCAACTTGTTTTGTAGGAACTATTATTTATTATCACAAATTTGAGCATGAGTTGGTGTACATTTTCATTGTTTCTACATATTACTGAAGTTTCTTCTTTTGGGGGTTTGGGAACAGGAAAACAAGTACAGCAGAAGAAAAACAGAAGTGTAATGGACAGTGACGAAGATTGTACTGGCAGCAGTGACGGGTTGGATTTCTGAGGAGGAACATTCTGATGTGCTGAATGGTAAAGAAAAGAAAGGCTATGAAACAGCAGTTGAGTACCTAGCCTTTAATCTTTCTTGTTTAAAAGTGAATTTAGATAAGCAAAAACATGGTGATGCAGATTATGTAAAAATGGAAAGCAGTGGTAGTTACCCAGATTGTGAAAAGACTGTCCAAGTTACCTGGTCATGTTTGAAAGATTCTGGAACCATAGAATCCCATATAAGTGGAATGGCGAAAATTACTTCAGAAAACTGTCTTAGAAGTTATGGTACTGGAAATATCTGTGATCAATCAGAAGTACAAAATGTGCTATCTTCTTCAGTGAAAGAAAAATTGGCTAAAAAATATGTACCCCCAGTAAATGAAAATTGTGATGTAACACAAGATTCAGGTGATTCTTCAGCGGTGGATGTTCCTCTACCCTCCTGCAGTGGCAGTGATCCTAGAGAACAGATAAAACTCATTAATACTGAGAAATGTGCTGATATTTACAAGAACCTGTTTAGGGAAACCCACAGTACAATAACTAAGAGCTGTTCTAAACAAGGTAAGGGAGCTTTTTATACATTCTCAGAACTGTTAGATGTTCTGGGTAATAAGTTCTATATACAGGAGAGAACACAAACACCTGTATAGTTTTGTAGGTTCGGTTTACTGGATAAGAGTATGTACACAGAGGTGGGTAGCACTGCTCCCTAGCTAAGGTCCGGGTCAACTACCATAGACGACGTATGGCAAGTGATACATTAGCAGCTTCCATACGTCGCCAGGCACATTAATTAAGCATGTGGGATATGGTAATAACATTGCCACACGCTGCTAGCTAGGCTGAATAAATATAAATGGAGCACATACATAATATACATACATAATACATAATCCAGCATACATAATATACATACAAGAACGATCACACTCAGACTTAGTTTTATATTTACCCAAAGACCTTACTTTAAATACCAACAATAAAGTTTCAAACAGGAGACAATGTGATGTTCAGAAACAAAAGAGAAAGAGAAAATGTCATTCAGATAAAGACTTCTCATTAAATTCTTGTGATTCAGAAACTGGTACTGTTGTTAATGAAGAATTATTAAGCTCAGAAACAGATGATTATTTTCATCACTCACAAAAAAATATTAAAGATGATCCAGAAACAAAGGTCATCCAGACCCGCTCTGGTAGAAAGACTCGCTTTACATTTTTTTCAAAAGCACTGAATGATAATTCAGATGATGACTTTTTCAATGAGAGCACACCAAATTCTTCAGAAAATAATACGCCTGAAAAAAGACCAAAACTTAATCTGCCAAGTAGTGAGTCACTCATTCCTCATAGAAAAAGAGGGAGGCCTCGAAAAAAGAAACAGATACTGTTCTCAGTTATAAGATATTGGGGGATGGAAGTGCTTTCATTCATATGGATTCCTCTGAAAATATGACATCTGAAACCAGCAGGTTAAAGAGTCAAGTTTCTTTTGTAGACGAAAATCATAAATGTATGGCTAGTGCAAAAGATTCAGTAATGACATTTTTCGAGGAACATCAAAGTGAAAGAGTAAAGACTGAGGTGAAACTGCTGAATGTTTTGAAGGATCAGCAAGTTGAACAAGCAGGTGTATTAACTGAAATGCTCTCTATTTTTAAGGATATGCAATGTAAATTAAAGGTTAAAGAATAAGGAAGGCTAACTTAAAGTTATTGTTAAACATAATTAATTCAAAGATTTTCATAGATACGTTTTGAACAAATAAACAACCCGGTTCCACAGAGAAGACATTTACTGCACAGTAAACCCGAAATTTACACAGTGACTGACTACAAGATAGTTGCTCTCATCAGGTGGCCAGTACAGTACACACTAAAGATCAATATCCTCATCATCTTGTAAACACAATTTAAAATAAGAACAAGGCAAAGTTTACTCTCCATTTAACGGAATCCGATATAACGAACTCAATTTAGCGGAAGGCTTTTTTTCGTTATTTTTCACTCAATTTAGTGAGCTAGTTCGCTAAATCGAGATTAATTTCGTTAAAACGCTCACACCTATGGAGACATCCGAGACACATGATGCAGTAAAACCTACTTCAGCCTTTGACAAATATACTAAATATACAGTATAAAAGTGATAAATAATTTTGTAAAGCAATTACAGGAAAATGGAGAGAAAATCACTCCAAACCTTTCTGCTCCCAGTGTTATGAAAGATTGCACTCCGTTTAGCCACATCCTCACATGGTTGGTGAGTGGGTGGGAAGACCAACCTCTTGGGTAACCCTGAATTTTTCTGCTCTGGGTCTATTTATAATCACTGTGCAAACAAATATTTCTTTAAATGTAAAGTCACTCAAAAAAGTATCTGAAAAATATTGTTCATGACAATATGACACATTGGACGTATGTTTTGGGGAAGTGGCAGAGAACCAGGCAACAGTGCCCAGACTACATGGGTTATAGTGTTCGTTTTGACATCCATCGGACCCCACTTTTCAGATACTATTTTGAGTGACTGTACATACAATGCTAAAAAAGGAAAATAATGCAGTAATAAACCAAGGCATTAGGTACTAGACAGCTATCAAACAGGGAGGTACTACTGCTTGGGAAGATAATAGACCATCCTGCCATATGTGACCAAGTTCCAGGTTGCTCATCTGACTTTCTGCCTCATTTACACACAATTGCAGGGTCTCAATGGTTGCTCTTACTTTGACAACACAACATACATACAGTAAACCCCCAATAACTGTGAATTTATAACTCTGCATGGATATGGTCTTGGAATGTATTAGTACTGTATAACTCAGGAAATGCCAATACATATATAATTATCTGGGAAAATCCTGGCATATCTGGCCACCTGCATCACCTACCATGCTACTGTGTCACCTACCGTTCCACAGTGTCACCTACCATGCCTCTGTGTCACCTAACATGCCTCTTGTGTCACCTACCATGCCTCTGTGTCACCTACCATGCATCTGTGTCACCTACCATGCCTCTGTGTCACCTACCATGCCTCTGTGTCACCTACCATGCCTCTGTGTCACCTCACTGTGTCTTACCATGCCTCTGTGTCACCTACCATGCCTGTGTCACCTACCATGCCTCTGTGTCCCTACCATGCCTCTGTGTCACCTACCATGCCTCTTGTCCAGCTACCATACCTCTTGTCACCTACCATGCATCTGTGTCACCACCATACCTCTGTCACCTACCATGCCTCTGTGTCACTACCATACCTCTGTCACCTACCATGCATCTGTGTCACCTACCATACCTCTGTGTCACTACCATACCTCTGTCACCTAATATACCTCTGTGTCACCTACCATGCCTCTGTGTCACTACCATACCTGTGTCACGTACCATGCAACTGTGTCACCTACCATGCATCTGTGTTACCTACCATACCTCTGTGTCACTACCATACCTCTGTGTCACTACCATACCTCTGTGTCACTACCATACCTCTGTGTCACTACCATGCCTCTGTGTCACCTACCATGCCCTGTGTCACCCATCATGCCTATGTCACCCACCATACCTCTGTGTTGTGGCCACCATTCCTCTGTGCTGTCACCTACCATGCCTCTGTGTCACCTACCATGCCTCTGTGTCACCTACCAGGCCTGTGTCACCTACCATACCTCTGTGTCAGCTACCATACACCTGTATCACCTACCATACCTCTGTGTCAGCTACTATACACCTGTGTCACCTACCACACCTCTGTGTCACCTACCATGCCTCTGTGTCACATACCATACCTCTGTGTCGCCTACCATGCCTCTGTGTCACCTACCATGCCTCTGTGTCACCAACTATACCTCTGTGTCATTTACCATGCATCTGTGTTACCTACCATACCTCTGTTTCACCTACCATGCATCTGTGTCACCTACCATGCCTCTGTGTCACCTACTATACATCTGTGTCATTTACCATGCATCTGTGTCACCTACAATACCTCTGTCACCTACCATACCTCTGTTTCACTTACCATACATCTGTGTCAGCTACCATTCCTCTGTGTCACCTACCATGCCTCTGTGTCACTTACCATGCCTCTGTATCACCTACCATGCCTCTGTCACCTACCATGACTCTGTGTCACCTACCATGCCTCTGTGACACCTACCATGCATCTGTGTCACCTACCATACCTCTGTGTCACCTACCATGCCTGTGTGTCAGCTACAATGCATCTGTGTCATATATCATGCCTCTGTGTCACCTATCATGTCTCTGTATCACCTATCATGCCTGTGTCACCTACCATGCAGCTGTGTCACCTACCATGCCTCTGTGTCACCTGTAATGGCCCCTGTCTCATCAACAGAAATATTATATAAATGGGTTATTTACATATGATTTATATTCAGATTTATCCCCTGTAACTTTCCACTGGCTATGAGGTGACATGTTCAATGCCCGTGATAAGGTGTGCCCACGGGAAGCTGCGTCATACTGAGTAAAGGCATAAGTAGCCGGCTCTCTGGCCACCTAAAGCGAGCAGTAGTTTGGTAACCTTGACTAGAGGAAAACTTTATTTGAGAGCCGCAGTGGATGGGTCCATATTCCCTGGAAAGGGGACGAAGTCCCAATTCCCTTCTCCCTTGATGGGTCACTACTCAGAGAATAGCACTCCCAAACTTACATCAAACGGAGGGTAGGTGACCCCTTTTCTCTCTCTTTACGCTCATAGATAGCGGAAGATACGGTGATTTACACATCAGGAATTGCAGCAACGGTGGAGACGGATGCTTATCAGTCTACATACCAAGACGTCAGTGTTTTGTGAAAACAAGAAAAACAAACACCCTACAGTGACGCGTTACAAACAATATCCGAGTGTTAAGAATATCCCGTATTGAGACGATAGTAAGTGAGTGTTTCTCATTCTGTCTGTACAGCTGTTGTGGTTTCGCGATCGTTGATTGCAGTATTTCCGGTGTCATCAGACAGTCCCCTATATATACGGGATTGCAGAAGATTTGACATTCAGTGGAGGCGACATCGTATCAGCGTATAGCCTTCAGTGGGAGGGAAGAATGACATTACCCACACGCCTACACCCACCACACAACAGATAGCAGCTGGATGGATCGCATTTTCTATACAGACGCCCTAACTCCTGTATTAGGTATTTAAAGAGTAAAATACTTTATACACAGTGAGACTCTATAACTTCTCAAATGATTGTTACATACACTAACAGTCATCTCACCATATACACAGTTGGTAAAGGTAGAGGAATTATGTTCTCCCCAATACTGTGGCATACTGGTTTAGAAGAACATATATATATATATATATATATATATATATATATATATATATATATATATATATATATATATATATATATATATATATATATATATATATATATATATATATATATATATATATATATATATATATATATATATATATATATATATATATATATATATATATATATATATATATATATATATATATATATATATATATATATATATATATATATATATATATATATATATATACACGCATATATATAGTACACATATATACACACAGGTTGTACCTCTCTAGTCCGGTATTCTGTGGTCCGGAAACTCCCGTGGTCCGGAACGATTTTAGTTTGTCCAATAGGTAGATAGGCAGCTTTTTTTTTTTCTTTTTACTTATCTGAATTATTATTATTATTATTACAGGAGTATTAAATTTTTGCCCCTCAGGCCCTAATGTGGGTCAGAGACCTATTCCCGGGTGGGCTAATCCCCTTACAAAAAAAACCCGCGGGTAATTAAGGTTTGTTTACATCCGGCAGTTCGGCTGCTCTCTCTCTCTGCTTGTCTATACAGAGTACAACATTTAACCCTTCAATATATATGAGCAGTAAATAAGTGTTGCTTTCATATTCTTATGTAGAGTAATGACGATATATTTTCACATGTGCGCACTTACCTACGAGCAGTCTCACTTTTTTTTTTTACCATTAATGGTTAGCTACTTATATTGTTCCATTTATTAATATTAAATAACATTACAGGTACTTCAAGCAACCATATTCATTTTTTACATTAATTTTACTACAGCTAAACTCAGGGTCTTATTTTCTTCAGTTTTATATGTAGAACCAATCAGTCACTGGTTTCGTAAGCTTTAACATAAACAATGCCGGCAGCCGTCTCGTCTCCTCTAATATTCCACGTATTATTAATAATTTGTATTGTTAATTTTGCACACACGTACATTAATTCAATAAAAACAAATTCAGAAACATTAATTAAAATATATATGGACAGTAAATAAGTGCGCATGCGCACTTACATATGCGATCTCTCTTTTTTCTTTACCATTATCGTTAGCTACTTCTATTGTTCCATTTATTAACATTAAATAACATTACTTAAAACAACCATATTAATTTTACTGCAGCTACAACCAAGGTCTTATTTTCTTCAGTTTTATATGTAGAACCAGTCAGTCACTGGTTTTGTAATCAACGAATACAATGCTGTGTCATTTCCTCGTGTGTTTTAATATTCTACGTATTATTAATGAATTGTATTGCTCATTTTGCACACATAAACATTAATTCAATAAAAAAGACATTCAGTAATAAACAACAATGAATCTTTTGTACATAAGAGAAATGACGCTGTTTACACGATTATGCACGTCGTCTGCACGTTGGCGGGCCGTTCAAACCCGTCGAAATTCAAGTTTCCGCCGTCAAAATTTTTATTTATTTATTTTTTTGTGTTCCAATAAAATACGTTAAGAATTAAAAACTCGCGAAATTTGAGAAGCTACTATACGACATTTAACCCTTCAATATGTCTTCAAAGAGGCCATGACGAAGAGAAAGTGGTGCTAGTGCTTCCAGGCATAAGCACAAGTCACTATCTATCCAGGAAAAAGGGTGAATTTCCATGGTCCGGCAATTTCCATGGTTCGGCACCGGTCAGGTCCCGAGGTTGCCGGACTAGAGAGGTACAACCTGTGTATAAATATATATATATATATATATATATATATATATATATATATATATATATATATATATATATATATATATATATATATATATATATATATATATATATATATATATATATATATATATATATAAAAGCTAGACCCCGACTTACGACTGCCGACTTACGACCGTCGGGACTTACGACCGCCTCAGATATAGATAAAAAAAAAAAAAAATGACACACGCATTTTCTATACCGAAACGTTTCCAGTTAATGTAGTCTCCATGTATAATTAGAAAATTATGGGGGCCCCATGTGCATTCAGCTGACTACATTAAAGGTTAAGTGCTCAGTCACACTGTATCCATTCCTTATTATTTATTACTTTCACTGTACTGTATCCATTCATCATTATTCATTACTTTTACTGTACTGTATTTCATTGTAGATTTTTTTTTAATTTTTTTTTTTATCTATGTCGACTTACTTCTGTCGACTTACGACCTGATTTGGTCCAACCCCGCCGCAAGTCGGGTCATTCATATATATATATATATATATATATATATATATATATATATATATATATATATATATATATATATATATATATATATATATATATATATATATATATATATATATATATATATATATATATATATATATATATATATATATATATATATATATATATGTAATATTCA